AAGATATGATTTAGCAGCCAAATCTAAAAAATATCAAGATATTTCAAAACATCATGATAAAAAAGCAATAGAAAGATTTAGATATAATAGAATTATTAAAGTTTCTATTGATAACCTAAATAATATAATAAACTTATCTTTAAAACATGATCTTTTGCATAAAAGACCAATTAATGTAAAAGTTTCTCAAGATATAAAAGTCTTTATTAAAGAATATAGAGACTTATTTTCAAGGGAAATATATGTATAACTTGTTAATAAAGGATTAGACTTGTCTATTTGCCAAAAGTAGATACATTTTTAGTAATTAAAACTAGGAGAATATAGATATAAACGTAATGAGAATGCATTTAAATCTATAATATAATAGCTTAACCAAGAAAATTATAATTTTATATTAGAAGAAACATTATCTGTTCATATTATTGCTTTTACAGTAGGATTTTATGAAAGTTTAATCAAATGAAAGTAAAGATCCAGGAATATGATATTGATGCAACATGTAAGTATTATAACTGTTTATCTTTATAAACTTTGTATTAGTAAATTAATTTAATTAACTTTATATATATTATTATTAAATACAATACTAATAATTTTGGATTTAAATTGTATACTCTTGAAGCTGAAATGAATGATATAGGATTTCCTCTTACATACCCATTCTTAGAAAATAATAGGCAATGTAAAGAAGGAATACGTATTATAATTATTCAAAAGTTTCTTACAAAGTTACGTAATATGAGAATACAACCAGAATTCATCCTTACAGATAAGGATTTCATTCAAATAAATGTTGCTTGATTTACTTTGAATGAAATAAAAATACAATTATGTAAATAGCATATGAAAAGAGCAATTTTAAAATAATTATAAAGTAATAAAATGTCTAAAAATACTACATTTAATTCCTTATCTGAATTTGGCTTACGCTTTCTTTTAATAGAATTATATCATCTAATATATTTTGTCCTAAAGAATATCATTAAATAATTTGGATAATAATAGAAAATATTTTCATCAACATATATTAATACCAATATCTAATAGTTTATATCTTACACATATAGAAATTTGTGATACTACTATTCAAGAAATATATGAATTTTATAAAAAAAATTCATTAATTACTTTTTGAAACTATTTGTGAAGTGAATAGTATAATGATAAAAGATGGCCTTTATGGGCAAGATCTATATATGAAGAAAAAATATTTATTTTTAAAATAATAATATTTATGAAAGAATATTAAAAGATTATAAAATGGGATTTTCTTTATAAGTTCTTTTGATTATACCTAGATTTTATTACATATGTATTATTAACAAAAGTGATTCTCTATTAACTACGAAAATTGAAACAAATTCAATCTGAAAGAGAAAAATCTGAATGAATAAAGCAATTTAAATCAGAATGAAAATGACTATCATCACATCAAATTAATAATACATATATTACAGATGTGAAAAAATAGGTATGTAAATGTCTATACTATCTAACTAATAGATTTAATATATGTAAACACTTAATTGATCAAAAAGAAGAAAATATTTTGAACACTTAAAAGAAATCATAAACCTTCATTCTTAATAAAGATAGATATAGATTCTATTCAATTGCATATAGTAAATCAATCTGTTTTGCATTTTAATTCTGAAACTCTTCAAGATTCTGAATCTTTATTAAAAGATTATAATACCATTTATGATAAATTGATAGAAACAAAAACTAAAGCATTTATTCTTCTTTAAAAACAAAAGATAACTAGTAATCTTTATTGGGTAAAAGGAGTGGAGAAAAATTTTGTACTAATAACAAAAATAGTAAAACAAGTTGAAAGATACTAGAGAAAAAGGATAATTTTATATATATAGAAAGGACATACTAATAATATAGTTTTTGAATTAATATAGTATGAAAATATCAATATTATTATATGTAAAAAGGAGGATTATTTGAAAATATCTATTAAATGTTATTATTAATAAACCTTTGCATAATGTTATATAAAAAATCATTTTAAAAATATATTTTGATATTTATTATAAAAAATGATCAAAAACTACTAAAAAAACTAAAATAAGACTTTAAAAAACTTCAGATCTACTTTTAGAATAGCCTTTTCAAAGTTCAAACTTTTTGAAAAAAAAATTTTTTAAAAAAATTATGTCACATTTGCCATAATACTAATTATGTGATAGTGATTTTTTATAATGACGCTGAGGTAGTTATAATAATACTGTCTCATATCTTCAAACTTAGTAATCCTTATACAAGTAAGGAAGTAATTAATTAATAATTAGTAAATTAAGTACTATATTAAAATCTTAGCATCTTATGTATTATAGTAATAATAGAATATATTGCATAGCAATATTATCTAATCAAGCTATTACTAGGAGTAAAAGTCAGATTTATTTTCTAGGCAAATTTAATAATATAAGTATAACATCACCTACTTTTTAAGATTATATAAGGATAATAATATCTAAGTTTTTCTGATTATATATAATATACTCTAATACTTAAGTAAAGGTAATAGTGATTCTGATTAGTATTAATAAATGCAAGAAAAAAGTGACATAAGTACTTGTAACTAAAAATGATCTTTTTTATCTAAATTTAATAGTAGTTTTGAGATTTTAGGATCCTTAAGGCTTAATATTTTAAGAATGTTAAACTAGGTAACCAATATTAGTTAATAGATTTTGGTTAGAATTTGAGTATAATTATAATCTTAAAGATTTTAAGAATGAGCATATGAGATTACTTTATAATTTCAATATATACTAAGATAATCACTATATAAATTCCAAATGTTTAGATACTTAAACTATAAAAATAAATTAATAAATTTATATAGAAATCAGTGTCTTAAGTTTAGTTAGTAATAACTAAACTCTTATTGTGAATTATACTGCAATAACTATAAATTCAGGTCTTAGCTGAGATATAAAACTAGATGATTTTTATAAGAATTTTATATAAAACTCAATACATAAATATATAAATTAATATGCATTTATAACTAATCAATTAATTAATTATTCAATATTAATTATACTAAAATACTAAGTTTTAAAGAATAAATAGATGCAAATAAAGCTAGTGATCAATAGAAGCTTAATCATTACTGATAGGTCTGTAATAGATACTGTCTTATATTTTCAAATATTAATAAATTAAGTATTATATTGAGGTCTTAGTATCTTATGTAATTACTGTGATAATAGATTGTATTATTCTGCTATAGTAAGATCTAATTAAGCTATAATTAGGAGTAGAGATTAGGTTTAATTTCTAGATAAATTTAATGATATGTTTATAATTGTAATTCATTTTTTTGAGATTTTATAAATATGATAATATCTCAGGCCTTTCCTATCATGTATAATATATTCTGATACTAAGTAGAGGTAATAATAATTCTGATTGGTATTGATAAGCATAAAGAAAAAGTGATATAAGTACCTGTAACTAAAAGTGATTTCTCTATCTAAATTTAATAATAATTCTAAAGTTTAAGGATCCCTGAGATTTAATGTTTTAAGATATCAACCTAAATAGCAGGTCTTAAATCAATATTAGCAGATAGGTTTTGATTAGAACTTGAATCTAACTATAACCTTAAGGTAGTATTATACAATGGATGATATTTGCAGATTTTTATAGAATAACATTATTCATGTCTTATATCTGTTATTCATATCTAATAAATATTCATTATTAGAGAACAGGAACTATTACGTATTTAAAGCTTTTCAAGTATTTTATTTAACAATTAAAAAAAGTTGAAAAAAAATTATAATAAAATTGCTTTATGATTATGATTACATGATTCAAACTTTCCTACATTTAAAGAAATATCAAATATATTTAAAATAAATCACGTGACTAAATTAGGATAAATAGCACAATTTAAATAAAAATATTTAAAAAAGATAATATTGCGAAGTTGTTTAATAAAGAAAGTAACAATGGTAAATTATTTGGAATGTGAAGCATCTATAAATATAAAAGCAGAGAAAATGAAATTTCTGATTAACATGTAAAGTATCAAACATGTGATCACAAAAATAAATCTAAAAATAGAATAAAAGAAACTGCAGAAAAATGTAAAGGACGATTGAAAAGAGAAAGAAAACAAAAGCAGTAACAAAGAACTCGAAATAAGAAACATATTTTGCAGATTACAAATAAAATCTTAATTAAGAAAATTAACAAGATTTTTTCAATTATGCTTTCTCTTATTGAATCAATAAAATTTCCTATTAAATAAAATTGAATCAAACAATAATCAATATGATTGTAAAATAAAATAGCATCCCTTTATATCTATTGAAATGCTTCTGAATTTGATTGTAAACTCTTACAAAATTTTTAAAATGCAATAAATAAATTTGAACAAAGACTTTGTCCCACATATAATGAAAGGTTTCCATCAATCAAACTGATAGTGGAAGAATGTAGGCGTTGCTATTATGACAATAAAAAACCCCAGGAAATTTTCAGCGAAAAACAACATAGATCCAGGAGACTTACCTAAAGAGCTTCAGGATCTTACCAAGATTGAAGAATATTAATTGCTCAAATATTTCCTGTAATATCAGTATATTTTCTTTATGGAGGTCAATATGCATATAAAGAGAATATCATTAATTTTCCTCAAGATGTGCATGAATTTACTACATATTTATCCCGCCATCTATTCGCAAATGGATCGATGTTCAGAGATTTTAATGTTCATTAATATTTTTTTTTAACCAATCAGCTTACTTATCAATTTATCAATTGGAGTGTTTGAGAACGCACTTAAATATTCTAACTTATGCTCCATTCCTTGTTTATAAAGGTCGAAGGTCGAATTAATTATATTTAGCGTGAAATTTGATTTTAGCGTCTATATCTTCGACATATTCATCTTTAAATTTTTGTACAACAATCTGTCTTACAATTTGCTCGTGACATACGCACTTTGATTTTAGGAAATTTAAAAACAATTATTTTTTGAGACCCTGTGATGGCTCAAAAGCCTCTTTAAAAAGACCGGAAAAAAATGAAAAATTAGATTCACCGCTTCGAATTGTGGTGAAAACATTCCAAAAGATATCGCCGTAATTATCCAACTTATTTTTGAACATCTGTAAGGCGTCAACTATGGATTTATCGTCGAGCTTAAACCCTAGTTCGATAGCTTTGTAAGGCGGAATTTTACATCGACGGCAGTAGGGGAAAGCCATCCAAATGGTGGGGATGGAGGAAATAGGATTAGTAATGCTCCCGATATGACAAGATTATTGGTATCACTATATATCTCAGTGTACCCGATCTCCTTTCATAATTCAACCAATTTTGCGTCAAGCAATATTGCTCTCGCAATTACGTTGAGCTGTCTATTATTTTCAAAGCCATCTTTTGGTGGATATTCTTCCGGGACCATCAATTGTTGTGAGGGTCAATGTCGTAACTTAATTGAAGTTTGCTCGGCCTTGGGGAAATGGAACGAAATTATTCTTTAAGATCAAATTTTTTATGGTGTCGCAATTATTTTTCAACTCTTGGGATGCATAGTTTATTACAAGGCTACCCGTTGAAATAAAATAGAATAATTCTATGTCGTTCCCCTTAACCGTAATATTTGGAAAATCTAGCTTCTCCTCCTTGTAAGATGATGCTAAACACGCTCAAGGGCAAATCGCCTGTTTAATTTTTTTTTGATCCAAGCGTACTTTGTTTGTTTCGGATGGTATTACGTTGTATTTGAGTTTCGTTTCGGTCAATGCTGGATCTTGTCTTCCATAATGCGTTAATACTCTTTGAACCAAATTTCTTGAAAAACGACATTTCTTGATATATTAAGGTTTGACAAACGTTCTCATTTATAAAAGTTGTGCCAAACCTAATTCCGAGAAATACACGTGTATTTCCGAAATGATGTAATAACCACTCGGTTTTGGCGTAGGGAGCTTTTGCAATGTTATTCCATACCTTTCAGGTTAATGACAAGTTTAACGGCGTATCGACATATTTAAAAATATTTATTTTAATTTTTCTCACAAGATAGAGAAGGGTGGATTTTTCTAAAGAATAAGTAAGCTTGACATTTTTATTATTATTATTTTTTTTTTTTTTGAATTTTAATATTATTTTGTCAATAGAAAATCACCGAATGATGAAAAAGAATAACTGATAAAAAGTAAGAATTATAGGATTCTGACAACAAGATGATTCTAATTTTCATACGGTCGTAACGTCATACATCGTAATGAACCAATAAATGAAACTGTATGAGAAACCTCGTTCACTCATTTCTAAAAAAAAAAAATATTCTTCAAACAAGGGAAGGGAATTACTGTTTCATTCTGTGAAGGAGTCTTGCTACATGAGAAAAAAAATTTTGCATTTTACTTTCAAAACACGTTTTTTTTTTTTTTTTTAAAGTTTGTTCTAGCGATCTGGCTACATTTAAAGCTGGTCTGAACCGCCGAAACACTAGCCATCGCGATAAGCTATGCACCCTGGACGCCGCATGGCTAACCCCTGATGCTATCAGTACGATGGATTCTGGCCAATTACTGGAAAGAGGAGTCTTTACCAACCTAATTCGGAATAGCAAACTTACGTTTTAGGTTAAACTTTTCTTATTATATATGATATATTTGGTACTTCTCTTTGTAAACAATTAGAACCGGTGATGGTTTTCATTATGCAAAAAGATGACTACCAATGTTATTTTGTAACACAATTCTTAGTATTCTTGGATCAAAAACATCATGATTTGTTTTTTCCGGATAATCTCGTTAAATGATCATTTTGTTGGTCTCTATTTACTGTAAGTATTATGTTGGCACTTTATAGTTTCTCACGTTTTCGTCGGAAATTTTATTATTGGCTAGATATGAGGTGACCAACAGATAAGAAAATATGATTACGGGTAGGTGTTTATATGGTTAGTAATTTTTTTAAAATGAAAAAGGGCCTTTTATATATGATTAGAAAATAATTTCTAATTACGGTTAGGTAATTTACTTTGTAAGATCACCTTTTTTAGTCATATTGCAACATGATGAAAATTTTTTTTTTTAATCTATCTTGCACAATTCTTTGTAAACTCTTCATATCTATAAAAATCAAATGCACATCATTCTGCATATCTCTTATCTTGAAGAATTTTGAATCGTGATTAAAATAAATAAAATAAATTAAAAATAAATAAAGCCTATTTTGGTTTTCCTTACATTCCTTTCCCTTTCGGTGTTTATTTTATTTTTTAATTTATAAATAAAATCTGCGCCTACTAATATGGAGATGATATTTTTAAGGTAAAACCAAAAATTCTAAAATAAATTAGATTTAACCGATAAAACGCAATTTGCAAGCAGGTTGTATATTTATATTTACTAGCCAGAAAAATGAAATTTACGTATACAAGATGGTCGGAATCTAGTTAATATATATTATATCAAATAAAATACAAAATTTTCATACACATACAATCTGAATTAATTATTATCAATAATAAAATCAGTTTTCGATTAATAAATTCTCTTAAGAAGTAAATAATTAGCATGAATATTATAACATGTATTTTATATGAAGCTCAATATACTTGTTATCTTTCATATTATCTACCTAATATTATAGTTATTTAAAATAAACTTGAAGAATCGAATTTGGTTATAGTTTCATTAACAAATTTTTTTGGCGCTATTATATTTTTTTAACAAAATTTGACTTTTATTGCATTTTAGTTTTTGATGTTATTAGAATAAAATGTAATAAGATCTTAATTTTAGTCAAAAAAAAATTCTCATCCTGATTTTCTAGCAAACTTCCCATATAGTTAGATGTATATGGTTAGATTTATAACATTAAATATATTATCGTGTGTAAATGTGTGGATGTGATCTATGTGAACTTTTGAATTTCCCGATTAAAATTTAATGCTTAACTTCATTTAAATGTTTTATTAACTTTCATATAAAAATTACACAGGCTCTAAAAATGAAAATATTAAAACATAATCTTACTTCAAATAAATAAATGAATAAATTTCCGTTATTAAGAATTCATTAAAAATGCCTTTTGTCTAACCTAAATTTAAGATTATGCAAATCACACATCAAAATAAAATTTCATACAAAATTGATTTGTTAAAGACGATAAAGCTCCCTCCACGTAATAAATCAATTTCTTCCGTAAAATTTAATCTATTTTGCACTTCCGAAAGTTTTCCTTAAAATTTCTCATCATAATCATAAATGGGCTGTGTTTTTAACTGCAAACGGTCCCTGTTACCTAGTCATAATCAAAAGTTGTTATCCAACGCACTATACACGCAAAAATGCCTCAAAATTGTATTCCTTGGTATTTTTAAACGATAAAATTTGAACCATATCAACAAATCATATCGGTTATAAACTTATTTTTTTAGTGTAAAGGCGTAGCATTTCAGGTAAAACTAACGAAATTAGGTACTTTCACGCTTTTTACTTATCTATTTCCAGTTGTGGAACCGACAACAATTATAACATGAAACTTTATATATGTAATACCATTTTTGGCGTGATATGATTTCACAAGGGTATATCAAGATTTATATTTTAAAACAGAGATTAATGACTTATAACTGGTGGTACCCAGATAAATCATCAATTAAATCATTTAATTTAATTAATATTTAAAAAAAATCATTCTTCATTATATTTGATATTACATTACGTACCTTTACACGACATATACATACATATTGTTTACCCTAATATTTTAGATACCTACCGATTAGGAAGTTTCATTGACGACGGGTCAAGCGAGTTAAGGGAGTTCATTATTGGTACGTTAGAATTCTGAAGAAAGGTTATAATAGGCGTTTTAACTTTAATATGAAAGGACAACCTTTTTTTTCCTAATTGCGTTTTCCATTCTAGATATTAACTGTTAATGTAGCAATAATGATTCGTTATAAAAAAATTTTTTGCTAATCAAAACAAACTCAACGGGTTTTTAATTTTATTTGTAAAATAAATTTTTATTTTTTATTTTTTAAATTTAAATAACAATTTGCTACCCTGGACAAACGTTACATAAACAATTAATTTCACACAAAGATTTGTGTAAAAAAATATACTATGTTATATATGATCGTAATTGAGCCCGTAGGAATTAAAAAAAAATGGTTGACGATAAAAATAAAAGCAATTGTCAAAAATAGTCCTATACCACCAATATTGATTCTTACATACTGCCGATCTGGCAACTATTCTTCTATTAATGCCTTAAAGTCATATGGGATAGTAAATATTTTGTTGATCTTGCAACGTCATGTATAAGAAGATACTCCCGCAGGATTGGAAACAAGTGAATTTAAAAATGGAATCAACTATCAGCTAATATTGTAAACTAACCATTTCCTCCTAGAGATCATGGGACTCGAAAAATTAATTGAGAAACATTTTAATTATAAATATAGACTTATTTTCCTAAAAAATATATCATTGATCTAACATATTTACACAGGTGTTTCATTAATAAAAACATGCTTGAAGACGTTATCAGACCTAAATTTCCACCCACCTTAACTAAGGACGTTATCCTCGAAAGATTACGTAAGGCCAACAAACCTACCGCAAAAATAAACGCTTTTATTGTGTATAGAATGGAATTACAAGAAGAGTATCTTCGTAACAACAAAAAATTACGTATGCCCATCATGTCCTCGATCGCAAGTATTTCTTGGAAAGGAGAATCTCCACAAACGAAAGCCTTTTATAAACAACTAGCAGATGATGCTAAATCTCTGTATAAACCAAAATATTTACCCGTCGTAGAGTATAAACATAAAGAGAAGATTGAAAATGATCAAAAAAGCGGAAAAGTTTTACCTACAGGTGTAATTTGTGATGCAGACTCTGATGATGTCGAACAAACCGTAGTGGATCAGAATTCGACTAGTGGTGAAGGTTCCCCTAAATTTTATGAACATTCAGGGACGAGTTCAGCTGATATAGAATTATTTGGCATGCTTGATTCGTAGATCACTTATCGCTCCTTTGTTATATTTGTTTTTTTTTTTAATTATGTTAAATGGAGAATTGCATTTCAAAATTAGTGCAACCAGTTTTTTTTGAATTAAAAGCCAGTAAATTTGGCATTTTATTTTTTTTTTTTTTTGAATTACTATTTTTTTCCTTCAATTTAAATTAGTGCAATCAGCTTTTTTTTGTATTACGGCAGTATATTTGGCTTTTTTCTTTTCTTTTTTTTTGTTTGAACAAAACTTCATCTTTCAATATAATTTATATTAACACTCACCAAATTTTGAACAAGGAACTTCACATAATTTCATTAGAATCTTTAATTTAAAGAACGAACAATTCCTTCTTCATGTATATTTAAAGAAAATTTGAAGTTTGTATACTTTTAATAAAGATATAAATGATTTAATACCTTTTTTTTCGGTGAAACATTATTTATGGTGGAATGGAAACAATAGTTTTATTAAACAATGTATGCATGCAATTGTCACCGATTTCATAAATAAATGATGTGATCAGCGAATTTGGCGCCAATTTCCTTGTTTGGTGTCTATTATCAGCTTTTTTTAATACAATAGATCTTCTTGTGGTCAACTCTGTCTTATCTAGTGCTCCGTAAGGGTCGGGTCGAGTTTGAACGCGAACCCGTTAATAAATACAAAACCCGAATTCGACTTATTGTTTAACCAGGGTAATATTAATGCCGAAAATACAACTATTAAAAAAAATAATACATTTTATTAGTCCGTAAATTTGAAAAAAATTTTAATGTTTTAAATTTTTTTTTGTTCATTAATCCTAACTATATCTTTTTTACATCTTTTTACATCAGGATTTTCACATACAGACACAAATTGTATTAGCTTTTTGACTACATCTTTAGGTTGATATTAGATTGGTTCCGCCAGAAAAATTCGTTCTACTGGAATATTTGTTGCTTCATTAAAAAAAATTATTAATTAATGTTTAATAATCATTTTTTTAGATATTCTCTAGCCATTATGGCTAAATTAAATAAATTATTGTTCGGAGCGAAGCGTGGGACATTATACTTTTAGGAAATGTGAAAAATTTAATCACGTGAGTATTTCAGTTTGTCACGCCGCGTGTAAGATCAGTAAATAAAAAAAATAATAAAAAAACAAAAACAAAATAATAAAAATAAAAATAATTTATTTATATTTATTGATTTAAATAAAAATTTCGCTCCGGACTTAAAATGGTTTCCATTTCCTAGTATAATATATCATTAAATACATACCTTCCACCCAAAGAAGATTATCTTGATTTTTGCTGTTCAAAGAGCATTTAAATATTATTCCATCTCATTTTGCTAACATTATTTTTTTTTTTATTTTTACAAATATATGATCATATTCATTAGTTTGCTATAAAATCACATTACGGATGTTCATATGTTACTGATTATTCACGTGTACGTTGGTTGTCTGAGCGTAAAAAGAAAAAAGTAAATAAAGTTGGTCAAAAAAAAAAAATTGAAAGTATTGTACAACTTGGAAAAGGCGCATTTGTAAACTTATTCTGTAAAAGGTTGCTCTAAAATCTTTACATAATTTGTAATAATTCAAAAGAGTTCTTTTGTAACATAATCAAAGGTATTGATAAAATTCTTTGTGCGGAAGTAGTTACACGCCATTGCATAATTCGATTCATAAATGTTGGATAACATCGCAGCACCTAATGATGTGGGCGGAATGAATGCGGAAATTTCTATACATTTATGTTTGTAAACATTTTTGCTTGTGATTTGTGTGCTA